ATAAAACAGGAATTAAAAAAAAATTTTTAACACCTGAAGTATTGTATAATTTTTAAAATCTTAACTTTTTCCTAGCTCAATAATGGCATTTCCCATAATTGTAATAAACGCATTTTAAAATTAAGAATAGTTAGGTAATGTTCATCGTTTCTGAGTCAAATTCAACTGACATAAGAATTTTAAATATCCCAGCATAAATTTATAGGGTTTTTAATATTCACTCTGTCATTAGAATACTACCTTGATATCTATCTACAAAATATTACTCAATTGTAGAGGAAATAGCTATGTACAGTAAATAGATTTTACATTAACAAACTATACTTTTACTTTGCATTTACTTTCTCATAATGGGAATAAATTATATATGTACACAAACTCAAACATATACATACATATGTTTACACATACATATATACTTGAATGCTAATTTGAGAAATTACATAAACTATTTTGATCTTTTAAAAATTTAATATTACATTTAAAATTGATCAAGATTCACATTTGTATGTTCAAGCTTAAATTTTTTAAAATCCCATTTTAAATAGCTTCACCTAGACATGTTATGTTTTAAAAGCCTGCATGTAAGTTTATCTGTTACCTGTTATACACTTTAAGAAAGGATTACTCACCTATAACACCAGTCACAGCTAGCTAGCTGCACTGACTTTGGCTTGGACAAACTACAATGTGGGTTCTGATTAATTTAAAGATTCCAGCGTACTTTTGCTACAAAAGCCATATCCTCTCACAACAAATAGGATTAAGTTTTGATGCTGCATTTGAGCCAAAGTGTTGAAATAAAGAGATTCTGTTTATGTCCATCTGCACTGAACTGTTTTGTTAATTTAAAAAACTCTTTTTTATATATAGGGCCAATTATTCATTCCCCGATTCAGTTTATTTGCTGAAGTTGATAATTACCTTGAAAAAAGGCAAGAGAAATACCTATAAACACTTTAATAGAAAAGACCTAAAGTTCTTGTAGTAAACCTTCAACCTTGCCACTATAAATACGCCTGGCACTTTGATGAAAATTAACACTAGTTTTGTAAAGAGCACATTGGGGGATTGCAGTCAAGTCTTATCTTTAGTTCCAGTCAACTAGCAATCCTGAAAGAGTTTGCATCATCATCAGAACAGGCCATTTGATAGGATTCTACCACTGTACCTAATCAATCTATGGAAGACTGTGGCTGTGCTGTGTAACAAAGCTAAAATAGATTTACAAATGGGGTTTTAGGGGATAAGCTCCTCCACGGGATTACATATTGATTTTAAATATAAAAAGCTTATCATATAAACCATAACTACAAAAATAGTGAACCTATGCATAAATCCCTTTAGAAGAGCACCCACTTCAAACTCTAAGCCAAGAATAAATCAAGATGTACAAAATCCTAGAGAAGATCCATTTCTTGTGCAGAAAATGAACATACCACTTTCTAAAAGCCCACCCCAATGTGTGCAGAAATGAATTTATCTTTCCTGAGGGGGCATTAAATAATCTGGAACAACAACAACAAAAAAAACTATAGGAAAAGTATCTAAAAGATGTTTGTTAGCTTGAGGGATCCTACAACTTAGCTCAGTAGAGTGAAACTCCTGCTATGAAAAACACCTCAGGAAAAAAGGGTAAAAAAACAGGCCAAAGTGATTATGTATTCTCAGAAGAATAGACATATTGAATATTATTTTTTTGCTCTCAAACCAAGCTATTAATATTTCTTTCAATGTGCTATAGCTATTAATATTCTGTGCTTTTCTCCCAGTGAATGGTTTCAGCAGATTTATTTGAAAAGATTTTTGTTTATTTATTACTAAAACTATCTTAAGGCTACTAAGTAGAAGAGATGGGGGAAAAAAGAGGAATGAACTTTAAAACAAAGGAAAGCAAAACAAAAACAACTAATGTTGCCTATTCATATGTTTTTCCATGGTGTTTTAACACTCAAACAAGCTACTGAACTGCATGTGTGTTCATATTATGGGTTAGTTCAGAAGACACTGTCTTCACAGAGCTGATCTTCACAATGATCAGAACCTCTCTAGGACAGCCCAGCCCACATACTGCCCAGGCAACTGGGGCAGCCCTCTCTCTAAGAAAGTATCTTTATTTGTAATCAACAGGCTGTTTCTTTCTTCAAGTCTCCTTTTTCCCTCAACCAGCAAGGAAAATTGGCGGAGTCAAGGCACAGTGAGATATGGGACAATGTAATTAAAAAACAAAAGAGAATGATAACTCAAAAAATTAACAATTATATTAAAAGTATTTTAAAAAGGAAAATATTATTTTTTCTCTCTTCTTCAAAAATATGACTTTCTACTGGTTTTCTCTTATGTCTAAGAAAGGTCAGACAGATAAAATGTTAGATTGTTTAAGATTGTTTAGGGATAGGATTGCCAGTGAAACTGGGATTATTTATATGTGTCATGGCCCTCTTTTTAAGATGGATATTTGGTTATAATACTGGTTTTGGGGATAGAACCAATATCTACACTGAAAGTCAACTATATTGTATCAAGCTATATTTCAGGGACAATTTATCTTTCTGTACATGAAAGGGTAGGTTAAAAAAAGGTAAAGAATACTCTGTGTTCAGTGTAATATAAAATAAATCTATAAAGAATAAACTGTATAATGAGTTATATATTATACATATTATATATTATATATTACACACATATATATACATACATACACTATATAAATAGTATTTGCTATACCTGCCTTTCAACTGACTAGCTTTCCAATCTCTTTTGATAACTATTATACCATGACTACAAAAATTATATTGAGAAGAAAAATATCATTTCGTATACTTACGCACTTTATTTCAATGGCAAGTTTCATAGAACTTTTAAATAATTTTGACAGATTTTACTGTCATTATCAATGATATAATTTAATACATTTGAATAGCCAGTTGAAGGAAACTGGATAACTGAAACCTTTTAAAATAAAGTAAATCAGATTTCTAAATGATGATATACAAATGTTGCCAGTGATATTTATTTAATGAGATTATGGATATAAAAGTAATTAAAAAAAACTTTTATAAAAATATATGACAGTATTTAGATAGCATGCATTTTAATAGTTATTAAAATAGTTTAAGAATATAAGGTTTCACTTGGCTTTCCCTTACAAACTTAAATTTCTAGTTTCTAAACTAATTAGAATTGACTTATTATGGATCAGGTACCTTATCAGGTGAAGAATGAAATTACCATGGACAGTCAATGGGTTAAGAGGTCAATATAGAATAAGAAAATCAATTTGCATCGATTACACAAAAGGTCCATTTTACTGAGCCCAAAGGATTAGCTTTTAAGCAGACAACTTTGAACTATAAGACATTTTCAACTGAGAGGTATAAGGAGAACAGCGTTCTAAAAAAATTTTTTTAAAAATAATTATTTATAGTAAATGCCATAGTTAAGCTAGCTGATGTTTGCTGATATTATGAACCATGTGTAGGATTACTATATAATTCATTTAAAAGCTTTATGAAAAGTGTCAAAGTGTTTTATTTATCTCATATGCCAATCTTTGCCTAAACATTCACTTAATAGAAGTTGGAATCTTAAGAACTACAGTAAACTGGACAATGACATATTTCAATGTTGACATCAATTAAATATTAAGGTAAAATTTAGAGTGTGTGAACAATCAAAATGATAAATCTTTTCCAAATCTCTCCAGTGGAAACAACTTTAAATTGCACATAAGTAAAATGTAATTAAATCAACTAACTCCTTATATTTT